TTAGCACTGCCGAACTTTACACAAACATTCGTGGTGGAAACAGAAGCTTCAGGCCATGGGTTAGGGGCAATCTTAGTGCAGAATCAACACCCCCTTGCTTAATTCAGCCATGTACTACCACAGCATGCGCGTCGTAAGTTAATATATGAGCGGGAACTTATGGCCGTTGTATTCGCAATCCAGAAATGGCAACATTACTTGCTTGGGCGACATTTTGTAGTAAGGACGGATCAGAGAAGCCTGAAATTCCTCCTGGAACAACGCATGGTAAGCGAGGATCATCAGAAATGGCTTACAAAGCTGTTGGGTTATGACTTTGAAATTCAATATCGCCCTGGTTTGGAGAATAAGGTAGCAGATGCCCTTTCAAGAATTGATCCAGTATTGAGTTCCTTGAATATCTCCATTCCTAGGGTGGTTCAACCGGAAGAAATTAAGAAAGAAGTGGCGGAGGATGTAGACCTTGGGAAGCGGTATCTGGACTACAATTGGGGCAAACTGTTAAAGAAGGATATTCAATGTTGAATGGCCATTTTGCTATACAAGGGAAGGGTGGTGTAACCTAAACACTTCCCAATTGCGACAGTAATACTACAGGAGGGCCATGACACCAAAACCGGTGGCCATTCGGGCTTTCTAAAGACCTACAAAAGAGTTGCCAGAGATGTGTATTGGATTGGGATGAAGAAAGATGTTCGGGATTTTGTTCCACATTGTGAGGTTTGCCAACAAAACAAATACATGGCCTTATCACCTAGAGGACTGTTACAACCACTTCCCATTTCAAACTCCGTTTGGGCTGATGTCTCCTTGGACTTTATTGAAGGATAGCCAAGGCGTGGGACGCTATTCTGGTGGTAGTTGATCGGCTGAGCAAATACGGCCATTTTATTGGCCTGAAATACCCATTCACTGCCCCAATGGAGGCTGCTGTTTTCATCAAGGAGGTTGTCCGCTTACATGGCAATAGGGATAGAATATTCATGAGCAAATTATGGACAGAATTATTCAAGGCACAGGGAACTAGCCTAAAGCACAGCACGGCCTACCATCCTCAGACGGAAGTTATGAATCGGTGCTTGGAGACTTACTTGAAGTGTTTCGCATCCCACAAACCACGCTCGTGGAGTCAATGTTTGTCACGGGTGGAGTTTTGGTACAATACTTCTTTTCACACTGCTACACAACACATCCCCTTTAAGATTGTATACAGCCGCGAGCCTATTCTGCCAATTGAGAAAGGGCTCAATGTGGTTTCAGCTGTGGAAAGGTCACTGTTAGAACGGGATGAAGTGCTGCAGGAACTAAAATTACAACTAACTCATGCCCAACAACGTATGAAATTGACGACAGATAGGCATCGTCGTGATGTGCAGTTTGAAGTAAGGGACATGGTATACCTCAAATTACGTCCATACCGCTAGAGTTCTGTGTGTGTACGCCCCTATGCTAAGTTATCACCAAAGTACGATGGGCCATTTGAGGTGGAAACTCGAGTGGGGCACGTAGCATACAAGCTAAAACTTCCTCCTACAGCAGCTATACATCCAGTCTTTCATGTTTCTCAACTTCGGAAGGCTGTGGGAAATAGTGAGGCCATCTCGCAACTTCCCCCACAACTGGAAGCAGAAGAGCAATTACAGGTTGAACCAGAAACTGTACTACAGATCAGACAAGGACAGCAAACACTAATACAGGGAAGGAGGTGCTGATCAAGTGGAAGAATTTACCGGACTTTGAAGCAACATGGGAACCGTACCACACCATCCAGTAGCAGTTTCCCGAGTTCCACCTTGAGGGCAAGGTGGATTTTGGGATAGGCGGAAATGAAAGGCCCCCGGTCAACTTCACATACGTGAGGAGGAAGAAAGGGGAAAAGGCGGTTAGCAACAAACTAGATGGGGCACCTGATCAATTAGTTGGTTAAGAAGGGTAGATTAGAAAATTGAGTCAAAGGGAGGGAGATGGCTATAAATGTAATGGGAAGGGTGTTATTTCATTCATTCACGTTTTCTTGGTTGTAAGTCTTAGGGGAGAGACCAGGCCTCTTGAAAGCCTTGGATTTCTTCCCCCTCCCCCCCCCCCCCCCCCCCTTCTTTCATTTCCAGTAATTCAATAAAAGTATATTCGATGTTGAATCTTTTACTACATAAGGATCCTATCAAACATTATATGAATTTGGGTGCCATGGTGAAATAAAATCAAATTGGATAGTCATAGTAACACTAAGTATAAAGTTGGATAACCATGTTGAAACAAAATCAAATTGAATGGCCATGATGACACCATGTATAAAGTTGGATGGCCATTGATGAATTTAACCATAAAATTAGACCATCTTTCCTCCCAATTGACAAAGCGAAAAGTAGATCATGGACTAAAAGAACATGAATGGAAACCTTAAAAATATCTTCAAACAATAATTGTGGCTCACAAGTTTCCCACTAGCCCTCTCCTACGATAACTATGGCCCACATCGTAAAAACTAAGCCTCACAAACAAGATGGAAAATGAACTTGTAGAAGAACTATACATAGAAAGGGATCTAAGGCCTATTGTAGAAGAGTTTAGGACTTCTCAATCATAGATGAATTATCATCGCAAACAATGCGAACAAACTTTGTCAAAGGCTTGGTTGTATAGCTTGATACATGCTATATTAGGCTCAAGGAAATGCAAATTAAAAACGAGGAAATATAGGGAATTCATTGGCTCCAGTACATTTGCTATTGAAAAATGAAGACCACTTCGTTGTTAGTTTGATGGTCTATTAAAGTTAGGTGCTATTTTAAGTTTACTTTCAGTTTTGCTTAATTTTATTCAAGTTTCACTATTCTCCGAAATTCAGGGGTACTATCGTCATTTTAAGGAACTGTCATTTTCAAAAATCTCAGAGATATGTTCAGTTCAGTCTTCTGTTGGGTCATGCTAGGGTGATTTGTCAAGCCTACGTGGATTGAATAGGTTTAGCTCTCTATTTACTTAGTTTCCTTATCAGGAGTCCATGCCAGAATACAAAATCTTTTGGAGTCTATAAATATTGACGTACCCTTCTTTAACCAGTAAGAAGCCTGATTAATGAATTTTTCAGAGTGCTTTTGAAGCCTATACTCATCATACCTTTTCCAAACACCCATATAATCACAACATCAAAAGATCTTGAGTCTCCTTTTACAATCAAAATGCAAATAAGCTACCAAATTTCATACTTTAAGCTTTATTGTTTTACTTGTGTCAAACACAAAATCATTACTGGATCAGTATATCGTACCATGCATTTTAACACGTTTGCCAATTTGTAATCAAGAGTTGCATATAGAAATATGTAGTCAAGCATCTCTCAAATTTTCCTTTTTGAACTAGAGTAATTGGGAGGACATGCATACTGGTTGTCAGTTACTTCCAACAAATGGAAATAAGAAGCTGATTGTCAAACATCAACTAAAAGCTTATTTGGCACAGATTTTTTAAAGTGAAAAAATATTTTTTTTATTTTTTTTTTTATTTTTTATTTTTTATCTTTTTTAAGAATGTGAGGTTGAAAAGTGAGAAAAATTGGGGGTCATATGTGTGGTTAAAAAAGATTTTAGAGAAAAATGAATTTTAAAAAAATCTTTGCAAAACAACTCTTAAATAATATAATTTGAAGAAATTGAGAGACCCAAGCTCCAAACATGAACACAAGCAAAGCAAGGTGTCTGATTGTACAATAAAATTTGTAATCCTCTTGATCACTAACTATTGTGCTTCATTTAACTGGAGCAATCATTTATATTTCAGTATTCTTGCTACAAATTGAATTACACATGGTTTCAAAAGGAAATAATGATCACAAAATTGGTAATGTATTTCTCATCAATCCTCTGTTCAAAAGCAAGTTTTCTAGTTTGAAAGCCAAACAAAAATTTGAGATATGTAACCAGATCTATTCTGTGCTACTCTCTAAATGATATGTGATTTTCTTTTCAAAGATACAAAAGGTTAAAACTTAGAGCGCTTTTACTTAGACTACATAATGACACCTAGTAAATTTTCTACTCTGAAAGATTGGAAAAATGTTACCAAATGAATTGTGTGCTACTCCCTTAATGACACCTTGAAAGCCAAAATACTGGAATTTTGCACGTGATTTACTTCAAAGATTTGGAATATTAGAACTACAAAGCAGCACATGATGATCTAAAGCAGTAAAAAGGGGACACAATTGTTTCGGGATGTAGTGAGATTAGTTAGTAAAAAAAAAAAAAAAACAAGAATCCTAAACAGAGTAGAGTAGCAATTCATACTGTGAAAATCCAATCACTAGTACCATAGACCCTATATCTAGGTTGCATATGAAATGTTGTCCAGCCACAGAAAGTTAAAAATTTGAAACTACAACTACGAGAAAACACTCTTTTGACAAGAAAATGGTCGAATTCAAAAATTACATCTAGTGTTCCTTATATCCACATTCACAAATAAGGCAGAAATTTTCATTTCTCCATAACTTATTAGTTTAAGAAGGTAGGGCCGTATGTCCCACATCTTATTTTAATCCTTTTTAGAACATATTTTACACAACTAGGATCTAAGCCAAACGACCCATGGAAAAGAATGGAGAAAGTTCTGAATCAAAATTCTCAGAAAATTCTAATTCAAAGCTACTGAAACCTAACTCTTTCTTAGTTTCCATTAGCAGTTCAAACAATGAAACATTTACTACATCCATCGAAGGAATGAGATACAACTAAAATAATGGGTCGGCTATGCCAATTTTTACGGCAACGCCACAATGGTCAATAAATTATTATTTTTCAATGATATCAGGCCAATTACAACTTAAAACACATAATTATCTGAAATCAAATTAAACCTTACGTACAATACAAAGCTACGTACAGAAAATAAGTTTCATAACTAAAAGAAATCCAAATTCAAATAATTCCCAATTACTGCACAAAATTATTGAAACAACAGGAGACAGAATCAATTGAAATGAAGAAAAGAAAATCCCTTACATGAAGAAAGAGGCGGTAACAAAAAGCCCAATGCAGAGCATGAAAACAGATAGAGTTGGGTACCATACATCTGGAACCGGGCTCGAGATCGATTTCGCCTATTTTTTTCATCATTTTAGATAAAATCAAATGCAAAGGAATCGGTAAGAATCACAATTACGTCAATCAAGGAACCAAAAAATAAATCAGAGAAAATAAAATAAATAAATAAATGAAAAAATGAAATTGGTGTACCATTGACGGTGGATTTATTTTTCTGTAGATAGATCTTGCCTAGCCTCAGCACTCTTTTCACTCTTTTATGAAATCACTGAGAAAGTTTTCAACAATTTATGAAAGGGTTAAATACCCTATTGGTCACCAAACTTTAAAAAAATTCATTTTAGTCATCAAACTATTTATTTAACATAGATGATCATCGAACTTATAAAGTTATTTCAATTAAGTCGCTCTTCACAGAACCTTTTGTAAATTTAATGATTTTTTGGGGGTATCCTACAACATTTCTTAATTTGTGGATGACTTTGGTAAGATAGTAATAAGTTAAAATATATTACTTCCAAGTTTTTATAACACAAATTTAATCGCTTTAAACTCTTTACATTTCCACCTGTCCACTAGAGATCAAATGAATTTTAGATATTATTTTAATTAATTTTTTATTTTGTTTTCATTTCCATTTGATGCATAGATTATTTTATTAATTATTTTTTAATTTTAAAATATTAAAATGCTTCAACGGGTCCAACGAATTTGGATGGGGGACCATGTACCCCGTCCCCACCGGATATTTTACATCACTACTAACAATGTAGTTTTTAACCCATTAATGTTGTGTGGAGAAATTCTATACCAGCCCAATCATGCTACACTAATACTAAGGTTGACATAATGTCATATGATATTTATATCATTGGATAATTTAAAACACGGTCGACTTTTTCATTCAATTATTTGTTGTTACGTACAATTATGTCAAGCTTTTTTGTCCAATCATTTAGGCAAACTAGCTTTATCCATACCAGCAAGGAACAAAGGTACCATTTACAAATTTCACATAATAACATACACCAATTACTGTACATTAGAGCATAAAAATTTCAAAAATACAAGTTGATCATCCCATTACATTTATTTAGATGTCAATCTGGGCTTCAAATGTGGAAGCCAAATCAATTTTTTTCCCAAAATTTCCCAGCATTTTTATTGATGTCCATTTCACACAGATTCTCTCTCACACATCCTCTGGCTTCTCAAGAAAGGCCTTTAACTTCCAATTCCCAAGCACATGAATATCTTAAAATCTGAAGAACTGATGCCAATAATATTCAGGAAATCGGGACCCTGGAGCTTGTGATCTCAATAGCTTATCGTCTATGATTAGTGTGATCCAGGCCAGAGTCTTGACAGTAGCCTATGCTCGCTCACACTGCCTGCAGATAATCGCCTCATCTTCTGCCACAGTTCCATGGCCTTACCTGTTCTTAACGGACCTGAACTAGAGTGCCTCCTGAATGACTCAGAATCTTGTCTCCCATAATTGGTGGGCAAACTCAACAGCTCCGACATGGAAAGATTCCTCTGAACATTGAGCCGGTAATCATAATTAGAGATTGGGGATTGAGTTAGCAAAGGATCCGGCAAATGGTCTGAATTGGCATCGATCATAGCATCATCTACGTCTATAGACAAATTCTCCTGACTACAACTTCTTGATCCGAGTTCTTTTGTTTCTTCACACTCATTACAAACTAGTTTCAACGCCTGAACTACCTCGCCCATAAAAGGTCTGTGTGATACCTCTGGTTGAACACACATTGAAGCAATGGCAGCTACTTTTGCAATACTGTCAAAAGGAAAATCAGGCCCCAATGATGAGTCTACAATCAATTCTAAACCTTCTCGACTTGTGAGGAGTGGTCGGGCCCAAGAAACTAAATTCTCTTGACCTGGTGGTTGAGACATGTCGACCGGTTTTCTTCCAGTTAGGAGTTCTAGAAGGACTACACCATAGCTATAAACATCACTTTTAACGAGAAGATGCCCAGTCATTGCATACTCTGGAGCTACATACCTGGTATCATATATGGAGACAAAATTTAAAAGTTTAAACATGATAGATTCATACATACCCAACAACCACCACCACCAAAAAAAAAAATAATAACACCACCAAAAAATAATAATAAGTAACGGAAACTAAAAACAGACAAGAAGTAATTTCTTGTATACGTTTTGTATGACATTAAGATACAGAATATATGGAAATAGAAAACTTAGTGATTCTCCATATTATTCCTTTTCCAGGTAAGAGAGGGTTCCAACATTATTTTAAAGGCTCTTAGGTTTACTGAAAATAAATGTGTCCAAGTGAAAATAGTCTGGCAAAGTAATAATGAAAATGATATGTTCGGCTGGGCAAGTATAAGGTTCATATTTTTCCTGTTCAAAAGAAGTACATAATAAATCAGATTACTATCAGATAAAATGAATATGCATTACCCGAAGGTTCCCATGACACGAGTTGATATGTGTCTGTTCTCTTCATCCAATCCAGTACGCGCCAAACCAAAGTCAGATACTTTGGGAGTAAAATCTTCTTCGAGTAAGATATTGCTGGCTTTGAAGTCCCTGTGTATCACACGAGGGCTTGAATCCTCATGCAGATAGGCTAGAGCTCTAGCAGCCCCAAGTGCAATCTTCAGCCGAGCACTCCAATCAAGTGGAACAGTCTCTCTGTCAATGCCTGAGAGAAAGCAAAAGCACTTATATTTACATAGCCATTGAAAAGACTTATGCGGAGAATGACCTTATTAAGAGTTCATACCATGTAGATGAGACTCCACACTGCCATTTGGAATAAGTTCATACACTAAGCAGCGACTTCGATCTTCAATACATATACCAATCAACTTTACTAAGTTCCTATGGTGAAGGCGGCTCAGCATTTCGACTTCAGCCAAGAATTCACGACCACCCTGCTGATCATCTCTCTTTAATATCTTCACGGCAACTTTTGTCCCATCTTCAAGCACACCACTGTAAACACGTCCAAAGCCACCTTCACCTAGGACTCTTGTCTCATTGAAGTAATCAGTAGCTCTCTCAATGTCACTAGAACTGAATGTCTTTGCAGAGCCAGTATATGCTGCAATGCTAGAACCCAAAGAGAATGAAGCAGAATTGGGTCCACTTCCAACTATAGATGCAGCAACACCTACAGGTTGTACATTTTATTGTCTTGTCAGAGAAAGATTTTGAATTTGGCTCATCTCAGAAATGATTTCTAGATGGAAATTTACCCACTTAACCAGATCTATTTATTCAATACCATGCATTAGATGAGTAACACTAACAAACTAAATTTAATTTAACTTTAATTTAGCAAGTTAGCAACATATCTGGACTTCATATCTACAGGATAAGAATGAGGAAAGCGCTTTGGCAATTTCTACATTTCTTCAAAAACTCTTGAAGCTTTACTTTCTGCTTCTCAGAATATTATCGAGTTTCACTAAAAGCTTTCAGAATTAGCATTTGTTTCGAGTGGCTGCAGAGGCATGACTTCATAAAAAAGGCTTATATATTATATACACAAATGCAAAAAGTAATCATCTTCTAAGAATAGGATCTATTAAATATGAAGCCCATTGAGATTACAAAGCCAGCCAAGATCTTTAAGCAACAACAGTAAAAATCAAATATTAAAAATTAGACAACCTAGATTTTACCTGATGATTTTGTAAGGGAACCAATCATAGTTGGTGAAGTTGGATCTCGTTGTGAAATGTTGTCTCTACGTTTGAAGAGCATAACCCATGCAATAACACACAATAAGATAACAGCTACAGAAGCGGACAAGACTATTATTGCTACAATGCTTCTGCTAGGCCCGCGATTATGCTTCTTCCCCCTTACATCAACTCCAAGGGGATGCATAGTCCGTGCATTATTGTCATGACCAGGATATGGCTTACTGCCTATGATACCAATGGTTGAAGGAGGCAAAGGTGGAGAGGGAGGAAGACCTACAATTCGAATATTTCAATTCAAGTACTCAAGTTAAATAATAAATGTGAATGTCATTCAAAAAGATATGGATACGACCAGAACCTGGATAGCGCACATATAATACATCGTAATCACCAAACAATGAAGTTTTTATGACCACTTGCTTGTGCCAGAATCTTTGAAACGTCAAATATGCTGAAGTACCATCAAATCTTTCCCCCAGGGGTACCATATCAATAAGGACAATGGTCTTTGCTGGATTTTCACCAGCTGCATTTGCTCCCATTATATGTACTTGGCTTTGCTTCATAAATACTCCAGCGGCAAGTTCTGCCGCTAGTTCTGACACTAAAGGGAAGAAGGTGTACAGCGCTACACTAAGCTGCAGTGCCACTTGTATGGGCAACACACAAACACAGACAGATTCAAGCAGACCATATGTATACGGCTCGGCGCAAGTCAACGGTGCACAATCTACACAAGTAAGCTAAAGCTGCTAAACATTGGAATATGGCAGTTGAAAATATTGTAAAACATAAAGCAAAAAAACCAAGATACTGTAGTGAAAAATGTAAGATGTATATGTATGCACCTTTATGTGGAGGTGGAGGTGGCAGTGCTTGCAACGGTGGCGGAAGTGGCATCTTTGGATTTCTGGGACGAGAGTATCCAGAAGGAGACATTTTCGGGGGTGGAATGAAGGGCACTTGCAAATGAAAAGATGGTAAATGTATAAGCATCATTAAAAAAAACCAAAAAATAAAACTTTGTGAGGGGTTATTTACTCTCCCCATGTTAAAGGGAGAACAATAGATATTCTTACTTTTCCTTTGCTTAAATGGAGATGTTGAAGATGGAGCTGGTGCTGGTGCAAGAGAATCATTATTATCTGAAGAAGGGAATGGAGAAACCTGTCATCCTGAGTTTGAAATTTAAAGAATAATAATTTTTATTCAACAATCTGTGGTAGGATTGAGAAGTGAGTACCTGGGTGTGAGGGTGTTGGAGCCCTTTGTCTAGGATTAGTCTTTGGATCTGATTTTGGATTATAAGGGGCCAGACCTTCAAAAACATTGATAAGTTAGAAAAGAACAGAATGACTGTTAATGCTGTCTTGAACTAATTAAATGAGAAAATTTTGAAGTGAAAAATGAAACCTTGTTTCATCGAAGCGGGAGGGAAAGCCATATGTGATGACGGAGCAGGAGTAATCTTATGCTCCCTTGAACGATGCTTCCTCTGAATTGAAGTTGAAGGTGGAGATGCCGTGGGAAAAAACCCTGTGTTTGGAGTTGACTTGGAAAATGGATGAGGAGGGGAAGCGCTATTAGATCGCCCCACGGATTTATGCATAGGAGCTGAATGAGGGAATGACAAATAACGTTTATAAACTTCTCAAATAATTTTTGACAGCGTATTATGAGAAAGATTTACAAATTTGTTTACTAACCTTCCTTTGGGGAGTGGCTCACAGGTGCATGTTGGCTGGTAGTTCCACTTGGAGGACCTGCTGCAATTGGCATTGCTGCTTTTTTCCTATTGATGCTTGAAGAGGGTGTTAACACAGAAGGAACATTTTGTTCTGTTTCATTAACACAGGAACTCGTTAAAGTAATATGCATAATATCATATATGACATATGCTAGTATGGAAATATCCACTTGAAAACAAAATGATTCGATGACATGCTAAAATTCATTCAAACCTTTGGCAGCTGTATACGGGATTTACAACCAATAAATAGAACAATTATGCAACCCTTGAAATGAATTTCATTTCCCCAAGGTTCTCTATCTGAAGCTCTAATTCATTTTAAAGTTACGTGTGAGGAGGATAGCTTGTTTCTAGCAAGAATATATGTTGATGTTTCTGTTAGCCACTTGTTAAGTTGCTTTAAATCCAAAGACGGTATGGGAGTTTATATGTAACAAGTGCCCATATTACAATGAGGCTATAGTAAATATTTGAAGAGCATATATGAAGAATGATCCTGTGGGGCTCGGACTTGGAACCTCGCGGAGTAAGGAGTAAAGCATCCAGGGTTGGTATATCTCATTGAGCATCAAGAAGCATTGCGAACCCTTTGTTCTTTCTTCAAAGCCATTTCTTTTCTGAGTACACAATACTCAATTGATGGAAGACAACAAAGCTAAAGAGTGAAAGAATGGGAATATAATTATCTCGCTTGAAAACTCTCTTCCTTCTGTCTTTTGTAACATATTAACATGACACATTATTGCTTAGATGGCTATGTAGTTAGAGATCAATTATAGTCCCTAATATCTTGATTTGTGCTTCCTTCTCTGAGGTCGTAGTTTCATGGGCCGACGATATGAGTTGCAGCGAAACAATTTTTCGCACCCGTGCAGTCTACTTTCCGCCATCTTCCATCACAAGTCTAGACATGATCCATTGCATATTTCACCCACAATGCATTCTATCATGAACAAATGAATGCCTAATGTTCCACTTGGTGCCAGGACGCTTACCTGTGCACAAAGCACATCTAAATCTAGCTTGCCTACATGCTCATACACAACAAACGGATCTCAGTGGACGACGAATACTCACTGGAAATGAGTCATCCTAGCTCCACCCAAAGCATTGAGGATTATTTGCATGCCGCACAGTGCAATTCTTATGCTCGTCACTTTTTAGCTTAATGCTAGCTACCATGCCCTTCATCAGTGCTTAGCCCAGGTAGGGTCATCCGATAACCCATTACTAATGAGTACCTTCATAGCATACTTGTTCCTACATATTGGCATCTTGCGATATTCGCCCAACTATGAGATGTTACCATATCCTTAACGTAGCTATCGAAGCGTAACAGTGCCATATTGGTGATGAGTGTATTTTATACACTTACTCGGGACATTAAATAATTGCATTTTATATTGCATTTTATAATTCTTTTGATGAAATATAGCCTAATTTGTTTTAAATTGTGTCTAATAGGTAAACATCATGAATTGATGAAAAATTGGAGAAAACAAGCGAAAAATAGAGAAAGTGGCAAAATAAAACTATGAGGACTAAATTGCAACATTACAATAGTCGCATCAGGATATAAAATGAAGATGCTACAAGTTCAATTGGAGGCAGTTGAAAGCTAAAGGGACGAAATCATAAGTGAAAGGATAAAAAAAATGCATTGTGAGAAGTTCAGGGACCAACCAAAAATTTGTACTATGCTTAAGCATAGGCCTGCAAGCATTGCGTAAACAAGGTCTTAAAAATTTCCTTATCTTGTTTTGGAAACTTTTGATATACGGTCTTTTAGCACTCTGTATTTACCAAAAGTCATCCAAAACATGAAGAACCTCCCTTTGACCTAAAGATCACATATTCTACGTATAACCAAAGACAAATTATACAATTTCATTGTAGAATATTCATCCCTTTTTCAAGATTCAAGCCAATAATTTCTTCATTATTTCTCAATCCAAGTGATGTATTTTCATTATTTCTTATATAATTTAATTATTAGGATAGTTGGCTAGGTTTTTCAATTGTATTAGATGAATGTTTGAACCCGATTTTCATTTATTTTAATTCACGACTTCAATTTAGGAATTTTGTGTTATTATTTGATTGATTTTACATACTTGTTTCGGGGCAGCGATCATGAGTATTTTTTAAAATATCAATTTTGAGCATTTATGAGCAGATCGATTTTGTCATTTTAGTAATGGTTTTTAAAACAATCCAACATATGCATGAAAGTTTGTTACCCAACGATTTAAAAAAAATAAAATAAAATTACATATTTCCCTTAGTAAAATTGACTTAGAAAGTTAAATAAATTAAATATTTAATTAAAATTTTAAGTTAGTATTTTTTTCACTGAGTACATTAATAAGTAAAGTTTACAATTATAAGTCAATTTTATGCTTTTTAAATGAATTTTTACTTATAAGTAATTTTTTACAAATTTTATAAGTGAATTCTATTAATTAGTAATATTTTTATTTTATAAACAAAACTTTTTAATAAAGGTGGTTTTTTATATTATAAGTAATATTCTACTTTTAAGTACTTTTTTTTTATTATAATGTAATTTTTTTGTTAATAATTTTTTATTTACAAGTTAGTCTTGAACAAAATATATTGATTGTAAGTAATTAATTTATAGATGGTAATATTATAAGAGAATATGAGAAATGGCAAAAATCCCTAATTTGAAGGGTTGAGAACCAGTCAAAATTATAGCACAACAATTTTGGCTGATTTTTAAACCATTCAAAATGGGTGCCTAACAAACTAGTAAACACCGATTTTCCAAAATGGTAACACCCAAATTCAGTCAAAACCCGTGAAAATAGAACTCCCAAGCAGGCTTTAAGAGACTAGATAATATAGAACATGAAAAATATATTAACAAGTAAAAGTCACCTATCAAGGATAATCTAAGGGAAAAATGATTTGAGCTGATTGGAACTTCTCTAGTGTAGACATAAAGAAACTCCCATTAAAAGTGTACAACAATTCTACAAAAACGAGTTTTAAGAGGGTGACGCATACCAAAAAACGTAGCTTGACATTGTTAAAAGGATTGGATGTCATTTGATTCTTTTTGTAGATGCATGGATAGATTGATAGACCGGACGGAGCTGGATAAAAGGTTTCATGTACCTCACAAGCTCACACCGTATATTTTTAGAATAATAAACATAGTTTGCTTTTGTGTATATTTAACATAGCCACCAAAGAAGGAATAGTGCAAATGCTCAACAAAATCAAGCATAAATCATCTCAAGCATCACCTGGAGGACTGGAGGGAGGTTCTTCCGGTAATATCAGTTTCGAAGGTGGTGAACTCACTGGAAATCCTGGAGGTGATGATGTAACTGGTACTGCATTATCAAGCCATAAGATGCTCATGAAGGTTCTTGTTAGCCGAAGATTTAGTGAAATAGTATTTGTAATACAGAAGAAGTGAGAAGGCACACCAGGTGGAATGGATGGTGATTCTTTTGGAAAAACTTGACGAGAAGGCGGTGGACTTTGTGGCATTCTCCTTGGAACAGGCATATATGCTACTGTATTACAATTGTTTAACTTTAGAAAGCGGAAGATTGAGCGAAACAATATTTGTAATACAAAAGCAGTGAGAAGGCACACCAGGTGGAATGAATGGTGGTTCTGCAGGAATAACTGGACGAGAAGGTAGTGGACTTTGCGGCATTCTCCTTGGAGCAAGCATATTTGTTACTGTATTTTCAATTGTTTAACTTTAGAAAGTCGAAGATTTAGTGAAATTATATATGTAATACAAAAGCAGTGAGAAGGCACACCAGGCGGAATGGATGGTGGTTCCTCAGGAAAAGCTGGATGAGAAGGTGATGGACTTTGTGGCATTATCCTTGGAGCAGGAACATTGGTTACTGTGTTTCCATTTTGTTTCACTTTAGAAATTACTCAATTTAATGAGAGGAAAAATATTTTAGAAATTAGAACAAATTCTCAACTGTCTACTACCTGGGGGAATCGGTGAGAGGGTGGTATCACTTTCAGGTGATTTAGCTTCAGGAGAAGTTGGTGGCATAGATCCTGGCACAAGGGGACGTGTAGTTTGCCGGTTTGGTGGGGGATTCATAGAAGGAGATGCCATGGATGCTGCATACTCATAAACTAAATCAATCTGATCTCTGCGCGCGCGCGTGTGTGTGATAAGAACACATAATCTTAGTCACAAGTTAAACAACCTACCTGGAGCTTGTGGCGTGAAAGGACGTTCTATGCGCTGAGGATTCCCAGGAGGGGGAGTGGGTGGCACAACTGGTACAGAGTCTTGAATTGATGGGGGTGGAACCGAAAGATGAGGCAGTGGTACTGAAGGATGACTTGGCCATGGGGAAGCCACGGGGCCTTTTCTAGTTTGAGGTAATTGTGCTGGCATGTGAGGTGGCATTGCAAGTAGAGGGTGCAAACTTGATCCTGACATGACAAATATAAATCACATAAAAGTCATGGTCATACTCAAAAAACTATAAATTATTGACTCACGGAGTAGTACCATTTGGTTGAGATGCTGGAGTGGGTGCTACACTGCTGGATATGTTTTCTTTAGGCAAAGGGCCAGGTGTTCCTTCTGCAACAGGAGGAATTGCAGAAAATGCAACCGCAGATGGGGATAAGCTATGCTCTAAAAATTGATAGATTCAAATTATATATATACACGCACACCCCAATATTAATAGCATAGTTTAGTAGATTAACAAACAAAGCTCAGCTAATGTCAAATGAATTAGATACTCCAATTAATTGGCTGCCTTCAAAGGTAATATGACATATATACATAGCAAATTTTCAACTGCCTTAAGTTTTATATGGACTACATCGAAATTGCTATTTTTGCAAGAATGAAGTTGCAGAAATTTATTATCGTAATATAGTTCAACATTCTGTGCATTTCAACCTTAAAAAATAAATAAATAAATAAAAATAAATAGCTTTATATCTATACAAGCAAGAAAATTGCTGTGTGAACATGTAAAAAGATGTGTAAACATAGAAGGAAAGCCTGATCACTGAATCTTAAGAGTAAATAAGTATCTATGATAGAAAGAAAAATTTAACAAAAGGACCCAGTAGACAATAATTTCCAATAAAGATTCTTTTGGTCTAATAATGCCTTTAAGCTAATGAAATTCAGTGAAAATTTGGATTAAACTTGATCAAACCCCTGATCTAATTTTTAATGATGGACGTTTCTCGAGCGAAGCCAGCAATTGCATGAGCTCCAAAATAAATCAACCACAAAAAATTTACTTCTTGGGGCAAATTCATCAAAACAGATGATAGATGCAACATAGGCAGAAGGACACAATTGAGAAACTACGAATTCAGATCCTTTGCCCATGGGTCAGCATTGCATTGCATCAATAATTACCATACAGATACCAGAAATCTGACCACTCTGAATTCACATCGTTTAGTTCATTCTTATCTTCTAATAACTTGTACCAGTCAAGAAAAAGTCCAATTAAACCATCAGAGATATAAATGCAGGTTAACACTAAATTTTTATAGCCCAGATCTTCAAATAATTCTTGAACACAATAATAATGAACTCATAAATGATTACCTGCAGATCCTTCGATCACCAACGAACAAGCTAAGGCAAAGATTTTAAGCACCAATCCAAGAACTGGCAGCATCACCGCCCCCATCCCACATAAAACAACCAATTAATCTCTAAGAAAAACCTACCAACTCAATCTCAATAATGATATATAGATTAAAGAATCAGAACATTGAAAGAAAAAAATCCCCAATGAAAATAATCCAATCTCTTTACAGTGAATAAATTATTCAAGAAAGATAGGCCTCTTAAAAGTTATAACAAAAAAGGGGGATTAGATTAGATTAAAGAAGCAGACCCACGAGCAGAAAGAGTAAGAGGCAAGCAATATTCAAGAAAGATAGGCATTTGTTTCTTGAAAAGCCTACAAATGGGTTGGGTGATGGTATGAAAGAAAGCAAAGGCAAAATAAACGCAATCAGTTTGTGGGTTGTGATTATGATTAAAGAATAAGGAAATCAAACGAGTATGGGAACTTTTGCAGCGATAAATTGGCATGTTGTTTGGTTGCAGGAGGGAGTGAATAATACATTCAACCACCGTTTGCAGTGACATGTGAGCAATTAAAGATAATCCCAACTAAGCTTTTTTCAAAGTAAAAACAACAAAACAAATAATCTCTTTAATTGCTAAGCCAGTAAGAAGTAACTGGCGTCTTTTGTTTTCTTCCCAATTCTCTCTCTCACGCGCACAGTGGGGAGAGATACAGTGGAAAGAGATAGGGGGGAGATGGCTCTGTGCTTGTTTACTGTAATTTTTTTATGGAGATGAAGATTTTTCATAAATTATAGCAATTAATGAGTTATTAATGATCAAATTTTGAGATGGATATTTTGGAAAAAATAAAAAATGATGTAGCGATTTTTTTGAAAAATCTGAGGTTAAAAATTAAAAAATATGAAAAATTTTGAGTTTAGCTATAAAATATTTTGTACTGAATGTATGATTATAAATAAATATGAGAATTAAAGAATTTTATTAGGCAAGGGTTAAATTTTAATTTTATTTTTTTTTCAATTCAAATCACTATACTTTTAGCAAGATCAAGCGCACAAAGTAAGTCGATGTCGACATTTTGGAGACTATTTGGTCACTACTCGAGAGAAGCTTGGGAACTTTCTTCATCACATAAAAATATGTTTGTTTCCATTTTTACACTGATTAAGAGAAAATCTAATTACTATAGTTGAAAACATATTTTTTCTTACATTTTTTTTTTCTAATATACCCTTACTAATAATAATGGTTTAAATAAAAATAGTTCATATTTATTAATAACAATACATATTGATTAAGGGATTTTAGAAAAATAAAAATAAATTACACTCTTAACAAAAAAAAGTGACCTACAATTTGGGATAAATGGAAAAAGAAAGTAAGTATATCTTTATGGGACGTGATTATTACTTTTAATTGAGATATATAACTCGATAAAGTGTTGCATGCCATATTGTTCTACTACTACGCTGCGTCACAAAAGCATTGAAATTAAGAAAAAAAAATGTGCATTATGAATTTTCTGTATGTTATTATAATATTCATTTACCTATCTTCGTTTTCAAGTGCCACCAACCGATGAAGTAGATCTTGTGGAATAGTAGTCAACTAGGTCTCATTAAATGTAAAATAATAATGATTAGTAGTTACGAATATATTAATAAAATAAACGTTAAACTTCAATTAAATTTATAAAAAATTTATATAGGGACAGACCCAGACGACTTAAATTAGAGGGTCACAAATAAAATTTATAAGGTATCTTCTATAAATAAATAAAAAATTAGAGCAGCTAAACAAAATTATTTTTTTTCCCATAATCTAGAGGGTCGATTGACCCTATAATACCCCCCCCCCCTCCCCGGCCTCGAGATTTATAAATTATGTGTCCAGGTTAACTGATATGTGTTAATTTGAAAAACGATATGTGGCGAAATATAAAATGGTGATGAAATTTAAAATTGAATCAAAATTCACTTATCAATTGAGATTATTAACCCAACTGAGTTACCCTATAGAAATTGAGAGTTCAAAATTCTTTGCCTAATTTAATGGGTTGATTGACTTAACTTCCTCAAATGGATTTTTTTGGACGTCGACGTTTATATAATTTGATTTGAGATAATATATATATAGAGAGAGAAAGTAGAGAGAGGGAGTGGCACGTGTAAAATGGTATTTGACACCTCAATTATCTGCACTTAAAATTTTACTTAATACAACATTTTATATATTTTTTTTTTCTTTTTTTTTTTTTGGGGAAAAAACAACCTTATGTTTGGAATGTTCATAAACAATTTAAATTATAAATAAATATAAATAATTTGATGAATAAGTGAGTACTGTTTTTTAATTTTACAAATTATATGAATAAAAAATGACTCGAATAAACTATGACAAGCATCGACTACTAAATATATTTGTATAGTTTTTTTCCTGAAGTGAAGACAATAAGGATTTGTTCGGTTTGTGTTTCAATTTCAAGTTTTGAGTTTATTTTTCAATTTTATATTTTGATGGCCTGTTTTAAGATTGCTAAAAACATGTTTGGTTTATCATTTTGAAAAATTATTTATCAAAACAAAAGACTAAAGGACACATCTGTTTTGAAATTAAAAATATATATACTTTATAAATATTTTATTCCATAAAATTTGATTATTATATAAAAATGGAAAAATTTTATGTTAATATATTATCAAGTAATATATACATTTTAAAATTGATTAATCTTAAAATATTTTTTTCTCACTATAAAAGCAAAAATGAAAATAAATAATAAATTGAGTTCAATACGTAGGGAATAAAAATAAAAATTAATGGTATGGGTTGTGAATATTTTTATTTGTGTTCATGTAAATATATTTTTAAAACTTTTATGTAAATAATCATTAAGGGTTTGAATTTATTTATTTATTTATTTTTGAATTTTAGATCTTATTTATTCGAATTTTTTATTTTTTAGAATTTATCAATTTTATTTTTTGAATTTTTTTATTTTTTTAGAATTTAAAAATCTTATTTGTTAAAATTAATATTTTTATTTTTGATAACTCTTACTTTTTAATATTTTATTTAAACGCTTGTATTCACATGTTTTGAATGTTTTTAGAAGTTTTATTGAAAATACTTAAAACGTCAAAAATGCCCTTTGAATTCTATGTTAGATATTTAACCTTGCTTTCAAAAATGCATTTCAAAAATATCAAACTAGATACATTTTCATTATTTTGCAAAATTAAAATTGATTAAAATTAACAAATGAAACATAACCTAAATCTTTATAATTCATTATTGCAATCTACCTTGAGGGAAATAAAGCGGGAAAATAATCGATCCATTTTTAATATATCAAGATTTTGGCCTTTGAAATTAGTATATATTCGGTATTTATTTCTTAAAATTCATCTTTTTCTTCATACTCATTTTCTATCATACATTTAGTTGGATCTACAACTTTTTTGTCATTTAAATCACACATTTTATTAACTTTAATTAAAATCTATTAAAAATTTTATTTTTATCCAAACCAAACAAGGACTAAAAATATAATGCAATTTGGTTGATCCCATCTTTGAAAAATTGCATTTGACATGATCTACATTAAAATATTTTAGTTACCTCATTTTTGTTCTCACAAAATGGCATACAAAATCGAGCTAAAATATTTTCTGTATTTTTATATTATTTTTTAAAAACCTAATGCTCTGTTTGACAAAATTTATAAATTATAAATAGTTAAATTTGAATTTTAACAATACATTTTGCGTTATCCACTTATTCATCATTTATTTCTATATATTTATTAATTCAATTAATCTGCAAGTATAGATTTTTTTTAACAAAATTGGTACAAAAAGACAGTTGTTTTCCTGTGATTTGTTGTTGTGAAAAACTGTTTTTGGCAATACCCAATTACAAAAATACAACTATTTTTTATATAAATTCTGCAAAATATATATATATATAAAATAAACTTTACTAAAGCAACTTTAAAAATCATAAATGCCAAGTAGTATCGTCTTTTGACTAATCAATGGAAAAGGATAAGACAGTTAGTATTCATTTAATGGATTGTTTTCATTTTAATCTTTGAAGCCACTCAACCAAGCTGTCCTAACCCAATGTCGATTCATAGACACTTGAAACCACTGAAAAAATGATTTGTCTTGATCAGGCAAAAGAAGGAGGCCCACCGTCACAATAAATTGAACGTTAGTCGGTGCAACGAGGAGGAAAAAAAATAGTGATTGGTTCATTAATAAAATAGAATGGACTATACTTGACATTGAAGCTCTATCCGAGGAATATGCTAAAAATATATTTTTAATGTTATGTACATATCTATGTAATATTGTATATCAAACATCACGCTTTGTAAGATGGATAAGACACCAGACTATTCAATATCCAATATTGAAGAAGAAAACAAATATATAATATTGCAAGCTAAGCCCCCATTAGGAGAAAAATTGAGTCTCGAGCGCGAGAGAAGTGTTGGTGGGACAATTGCACCGTTCTACGTGATACGACCATTGAATGGGAAGCCACCACTTCATCGCGTGGTCCACCTTCATCCAATGAGGTGAGGAAAATTAAGTCTCGATGTGACCTCACCTCATTGGGGTGAAAAACTTTCGTGGGCCGATTATATTGTTCTACATGGTGCGACCATTGAATAGGGAGCTAAGACCTCATCGGGTAGCCCACCCTTACCCAATGAGGTGAGGTCACCTCAATACTCAATTTTTGTCTCGAGATGGCCTCATCTCATTGGATAAATTGGGTGAGGATGGGCCATTCGATAAGTGGCGACTCTCCATTCGACAGTCACATCATGTAGGACAGTATGATCATCTTACCAAAAATTTTATCATTTGGCGAGGAAAATTGCATTATCTTACATGGTGCAACGGTCGAATTGAGAGTCTCCACCTCATCGGGTGGCCCACCCTTAATCAATGAGGTAAGACCATCTGAGGACTTAATTTTTTCTCTATTTTCACCTCAAGTTCCGAAGTAGCCTCACTTCATTGGGTGAGTGTGGGCTACCTGATAAGATGGTGGCTCCTCATTCAAGGCTCGCATCACCTAGCAAGGTACCAAAATTTTTCTCCCCCATTTGGTACGTATTTTTTAAAGTTCAATTTTTTCCTTACTTATTTGTAACTATAAATTTTCTCAGTGAAATAAATTTACAAGTGGACCCATTTTTTTTTTTTTTTTTTTACACTTTTTTTAACTCCACATTCTAAAAAAATAATAATTAATAAAATAAAATTTTACAAAACTTATTCTAAAAATCTACATAAAACATTCATTAAATATTTTTTAAGTGTCTTAAGAAAAACATTATGGTATGTTTGTTTTACATGTACGAGTTTAAATCTCTCGTGTCGAACTTACCTTCTTCTTACTTTTTGAATATTTCAACGTATTACTTAAATTTTTCTTACATGATACACCTGTCACTTTATCAACATTTTCACATCAAATAACTAGAATTGCACGGCCATGATAGCTCACAAGTCCTACCACATTAATATGCGTTAAGTCAACATTATAGCCTGTTTGATGCTCCCTTTTCCTTTTTTCCTTTTTTTTTTTTTAAAATATATTTTAAAATAGTGATTTGATGGAGAATGTGTGATTAAAAAAATAAAGAAAAATTTGTATTTGAGTATAATATTATTTTATTAAATAATATGATTAAAAAGAAAAAAAATATATTTTAAAAA